TAGAAAATGAAAATATTTACTTTAATCCCAATGTAAAAATTTTAAAACATATCATGCAAGTAATTGTTATGGGAGGCCCTCAGGGGATGCTTTGACATAATTATTTAATGATATTCCCTCATTCTCTTGTGAAAGTAAGGAATTAATAAAGTAAGATTTTATACAAAGTGACATCAGGCTTTATGTACCACATCCTCAAACAATAAAGTTACACGAAATAAGGAAAACCTTTTGCTCTATGCCTCTGTGTCCAGAAATGATGATTATTATTTAATGTTCCTATAAAAGAAAAGAGAGACCAATCCCTTAGGGCTTTAAATAAGGTAATGAAGTTGTGACTTGGTGCCCATATTAAACTTGCTCCAAATGATGTGAGTCACAAACAATGTGAGAGAGTTAGATTAATGTCATTGGGGATCTACCATTTTTGCTTCAGGGAAAGTTACAAACAGGTCTCCCCAGCACTGTCTGGCCCGTCTGAAGCAGAGTTGTGCACATGAAATGTTCCTGTGGGTTGTGAGCAAACCCTTCTGTGTCACTTTTTCATCCAGGTGAACTTTGTTCAGGGGTCCAGGACATCTCAGATATAATCATACCTTTGACAAAATGTTGAAAGCAGTATGTGTACTATCTGCATGTTTCTTGGCATTGCTTTTGGATAGGTAATAAAGGGATTAAAAAAAAAAAAAAACCCTGGAGTCTTGAAATTATACAGTGTAAGGCAAAGAAGGGAGTGAGAAGTCATTAATTTTGGCAGAGTTAAAAACGTTATAATTGCTATAATAATTAGATTATTAGGAAAACTAGGAAAATGAAGAAAAATAGAATCATCCAATGTTTTGATATGCTTGAGGCTAGTCTTTTCTAACAACAACAAAAGGCCACTTTAAACAGATAACTTCCTCAGCTTCAATGCCATCCAAACTCTTAGTTAGTTAGACCTTAGGAAAATAACTGCTATAAAATTACTTTGTTCAGGGATTCTGCAGACTGTTAAGCTTAGAGATTTAACAATCACATTTCGTTTATATGTGATATTCTACATGTTTAATGCAGAAAACCCACGGTATTTTTAAAAATTTCTGATTTTACATTTTTATAAAGGTACATCTATGCCTTCTACCTATACAGGCTAATAAATTAATTGGATCAATTCAAAGAGTTGTGGGTTTTTTTTTCACTGCTTCTTGGTTTGATAGTCTTAATAAGTTGCTTACCATTTTCTACCGAGTTTCCCATTTTGATGAAATACTTTCTTTTATCCTCAGGCCAATTTTGTCTTTCTTCTAAGTGTTTTGTTATATTCAAGTAGGCTTCATCAAGACTCATGGCCATAAAATTGGGATCATAATCAGCAAGTATTTCCTTAACCTTCAAAGGAAACAAAAAGAAGTTTAAATTTTGCAGTGATAGCAAATTTCTTCTGTCATATGTAGCTGATAAGAAACGTTAATATTCTTAGTTTGCAACTACAGTAACAATCCTGCAGTCAATAGCTCATGGATTTAAGGAATAAATAATCCACTACCAGGGAATATTTTCAAAATTTCTTTTTGTATTAAAATAGACCATGAAGGCAGAAGACCACAAAATAGCTTCATTTGATACAATCTCTATTTAGCTACCTATATCTAGTTATAATAAGCAATTCAAATAAATCTCAGACAACATTATCTGGTAGGCACATATAAAAAAACGGTTAAGGTTAAATTTAGGTAGCTCGTCAGAAGCTGAAGTGGGAATGATAGGATTCTATTCCCTCCTGCCTTTTGTGATTTATTGTTTTTGGTTCATTTTAAAAAGGAATAATCTTATATAAAGGTACTATGTTGCTTTAGAAAATATTTCAATTAATTATAACATGCACATAAAAGTCCACTTAACATTAATTAATGCATTAATCCATACAGGAAAATGAATGTTCTCTATTTCCTGTTACTTATTAAGATCTGGAATGGAAAAAAATGACAAATCTATAGTGTACTTCCATGATTACCTTAAATGATGGGGAAAAGTCTGGAGTTACATCTTAGGATAAAAGAAATACATATAAAGATTAGAATTATAGTTGCTATAATTCAGAAACGCCTTTTATATAAGATAGTATTCTTACATAAAACTATGACTTTTTTTTCTAACCACTTAAGTATTAGCTATAATTAGAGGCAATGGTTGTCAATATAATATACATATTTTCCAGATTGGGTGACTGAGTGAGACCGTGCCTCAAAAAAAAAATGTGTATTAGAAAATATATTTGCTGAATTATGCTATGCTTCCATTTAGCTTTTAAAACTGTCTACTGTATCACAAGAAAACTGTTTCTTGTTTTATAAAAAGAAAGCTTTTTAGCTTAATATAATTATGAACAGCTGAGTCAAAGGGAATTTTAAAAAATGGTGATATAAACTTGGCCAAGTTTTACTCAGAGAGTGCCTTAATTAGCTTTGTTCTTGTTATAATGTGCTCAAATAGAATCTTTCCAATGAAAATGAAACCCTGTGAAGTCTGTAACTGGCAGCCAACTAAGATTCTGAATGAGAAGTACTCCCTAGAGACACTGTTGAGTATTTATTAACTTCCTTTACATAGGATATTGCTATAAGAATTAAAAGAGACATGTTCCAGTAAAAATCAAGCACTTAAAGCTCCAATATCTTGGATAAAACAAAAATGGCTAGCTGGGCATGGTGGCTCATGCCTGTAATCCCAGCACTTTGGGAGGCCTGGGCAAGATAATTTTCTGAGGCCAGGAGTTTAAACCTAGCCTGAGCAACATAGCGAAACCCTATCTCTGCAAAAAAATTTTAAAATTAGGAGGGTGTGGTGATGCATGCCTGTCATTCTAGCTACTCAGGAGGATAAGGCCAGAGGATTGCTTAATTCAAGAGTTTAAGGTTACAGTGAGGTATGATCGAGTCACAGCATTGAGCCTGGGCTATGGGGTGAGACTCTGTCTCAAAAAATAGGGAGGGCTTTTTCTTAAACTTTCTAACCAAGTCACGAATATTAATGTATCCATAGGCAGTGATGAATTTGTTCTATAGTTCATTTACACATAAGAACTCATTTGTTATCTGCAAATAAACTAGCTAGATTCGGCTCAAATTTGAAGAGTTCTCTGACTTACATAAGTAACCAGACTAAAATAACTAAAAACACTTTGGTTTTCACTGGCATACTGCCAGAAGTATTGCTGAGTTAAAGCACGACCTTAAAGAATGCCTTCTCTTACTAAATTTTTGTAGGATTTTTAAAACTTCTTAAAATGCTATATTTATGATAGTATTTTATCTCTTTTTAATTAGGAATACAATGAAAGAGATAAACAGTAACCAAATGTGAGTGTGCTCCCCTCTCCTACACTGCCTTTTCAGAGGTATACACAAAGCACTTGCTGTCACGGACCGCCGTGGACAGAAAAAAAAACAAACCTGTGTTTAAACTTGGAATAGTGTCATTTCTCGGGAAAATGAGGTGGAATAAAAATAAGAGGGGTGAATTTAAAGACCCCTGGCATAACAAAAGAGTAATAAGTATTAGGCCACAGTTTTTTAAGTGTTTCCATTCAGACAGTAGTCTTAAACACATTTTACTACAGCAGTCTAAAAGTATTTGATAGAGCAGTCTAAAATTTTATTCCAACACTGCATGATAAACCACTTGTCATAAAAAATAGAAAAAACGAAAGTTTTCACATATGACAGTTTGGCAATTTTAGTAAATAATCAAATCTACTTCAAAGATCCTTTTCAAAGCAATGGATTACTCCCTTTTCAATTATCAGTCTTAGACAGTAAATGATTATAGGGCAAGAAAAGTAGGCTAATCAAAATACATGAATTTTGTCACTGTTTAACAACATTAACAAATAATTATTCAGATAATAGGTTGACATTAATGATGAGTAGATTCTGTAAGTTATTAATAAAATGTGGTTCTAGAAAAAATGTATATTGTACATTAAGAAAAAAGAGCTAAATTTAATTTTATATTATCATTAAGGCAGTTCAAAGTTGGAGGAAATGGGAAGAGTTTTCTAAGCAAATGAAAACTGCATGGAAAGGCAAATAATTGGGAAAAAGAATGATGTATTCTGGATACTATATGCAGCTCAGTATTCAATATACAAGCTGAAGAAGTGATAGGAGGCTCGACTGAAAGCGTAAGCTAAGACCAAATCCTATGTGCTAAGGCACTTAGACTTGACTGCAGGTGACAGGAAATCAGTGAAAGCCTAAAGTAGGGGTGAGACATTAACTTACCTCTTTACTCACAGCTCGGTATTTGTCAAAGTTTGGGGGCACTATTATAAGTTGTGGGCAGAGTCTCTTAGCAATAAATCCTGGCATGGCTGCACGAACACCAAACCTCCTTGCATGGTAATTTGAAGTAGACTGAAAGATATTGGACCACATGGAAAAAAATATACAAACCTAAATGGACATATTGATCCATGCATTCATAGGAAATACATTAATATGTGCCTTTTCAATTCAAGGACATTTCATTTATAGGCCTCTGTTTTAATCCAAGTTTTGACTTATTCTGTCACAGTATTTTGATACCATGACCCTCTCCCATTACTATCCCTATATTTATAATGTGATACCAGATGTAAACAAGACTGTGCTAATAAAAAGATTTTTTAAAATTTCTACTAACTAAACGTCATTGGTTTTAAGGCATACTTGTTATGGAATGAATATCGAAGTTTGAATGATGGTGAGTTATGTTACATGAAAGTAATAATATAGTAAGTTGTACGGAATAGTCATAAAATAGTATACAAATAGTAAAGACGTTACATTATAGAAAGTAATAGTATAGTATAATAGTAAACTTTTGGAATTTGCTCTATTTGGGATTTTGGAAACTTCATCTAGAACAAAAATAAAAGGTCTACTATGTGGTCAGCCAAATTAAGTCTCCAAAATGAAGTGATTAAAGCTTAAAATAAGTTTAGAAATTAAGGTTTTTTTCTTAAGGCTTAATTATCTTTTTTGCTGAAAACATTTTGACTAGGAGATGGAACTACAAAAGTATGAGAGTAAAAAGGAGAATATTGGTTCTTGCCTCCACTTCTCGCCATGTCTTCTCACAAGACTTTCAGGATTAAGCGATTCCTGGCCAAGAAACAAAAGCAAAATCGTCCCATTCCCCAGTGGATTCGGATGAAAACTGGAAATAAAATAAGGTACAACTCCAAAAGGAGACACTGGAGAAGAACCAAG